TAGCTGGCGAGCTGCTAGTGGGCGGGCCCTCTGGATGTGAGAGAGGTAGGTACGGGCCGGGACGTGGGGCTCGCCGGGGTCTACAGGCAAAGTTCCTAGATGGGCGTCCTGGGGGCCTAGGCAAGCCGGCCCTGCGGTGCTCTCCTAGCCTCGCCGCACTCAGCTTCAGGGTCGCTGCTGGCGCCCGGCGCGCACCTGCCCATCCCGGCTGCAGAGCCAGGAAGCTGCCGAGGTGCTTCAGGGCCATGCAGCTTCCCCAAAGGCGGGAGTTCTCGGGATTCTTCTCTACCTTTCAAGCTACTGCGCAGCTCAGGCCGAGTTGGCCCAGAGTGCGTTTTGGAACTTGGGAGGCTGAGATGGGCGAGATAAACACGTTTATAGAAAAACCCTGGCTCAGGAGGTTTGCGGAAAGAGGGCACAGTTCGTGGGAGGTTGGAAATTTTGTCTTCTCTGCGGGAAAAGCAGGCGATTCTGTACCCAACGTACACAAAGGGCGGGAAGGTGCGAAGCCTGCCGCTGGGGAGATGCCTCCAACTTTGGAGAAAAAGAAAAAGGAAGCGTGGGATCAATGTTCAGGTCACCACCCGAAGCATGTATGTCCTGGGGGTGTCTGAATGAAGAGAAAGTTCCCTCCAGATCTCCAAATTGAGAAAAGCTGTGGAAGGAATGAGGCGGTTGAAGAGAGAGGACCACAGGCATCCTGGGCGCTGGACTGAGCGCTAAAATGAAAGCACCCTATGGAACCCACTGAGAAAAACGTTTTTTAAACCCCCGAACTCTTAGGCGTTCTTCACATTTACTCTGAAGGAGCTAAGTCCTGCAGGATATTAAACACGCGGTTCTCTGTTCCAGGCTTACTTTTAAACCCTGGCGAACCTGAGGATTTGCTATTTCTGTATTATGCTTTACCAAGGAAACGAAAATTTATGCCCACCTCGACATAAATAAAATAGAAAGAGTTTTCCCCTGATAACACAGCATCTATAGCGCCTGTCTGTTTCCCCACTCACTGTTTAACCCTGTGACGATTTTTAGCCTTCCATTTACATTTATCCACTTCTCTACACAGTTGAAATTATTTTAGTTTTCCTGAGGAGTCTGATCTAAAAGCATCTTTGGGTGAAACGCGTTTGAACTGTACAGCTTCTTAAAAGATATAGGTTCCTGCGAGCCCCGGTTAAAACAAATTCCCTCGGTGACTCTACTCATCTGAGACCTACAACAGTTCACTTAGCTTTGTTCTGGCTCATCTTTTCTGTGCCGCTCCGTGTCATTCTGTCTCAGAGGAGCTAAAATACCTTCTCATTCATCACACAAAACTAAACCTTTAGAAGAACTCGAAAAATGTAACACTGCACGTCGAATTCGATTGATTTTCCCGGCGAATAAACAATGAACTCAGTTTTTGCTGAGCGTGGAGTTGATGCATGTTTGAAGAAGCTAGAATAGTATTTCCTAAAATTTAAAAATGATTGTTCTTCACCCATTCCAGATGGGCTCTTTATTGTTTGCCAATGGGTTGCAGATGCCCACTCCTTTAACCAAGCTGGTTGAGTGTTTATGAAATGTACATTAGCTGATTAAAGCTTAGATATTGAAAGAAATTTCTGCTGGAACATTCCACATGTCTCTGCAATAATTATGAAATTAGTCAACTGTCACCTCCATAAACAAACTTCGTTTTGAGAACAGCAGAGGAAAACAGACTACATATATAGTCATAATTGACCAAAAGTATGTACAAAACGACTTCACATTGGAGGAAGGGAGATGCACGCTGGAGAACCAAATCTACAGCTGTTTGCTTTTGTCCTTTGAAGCAGATGGTTATAGTAAACGTGTTAAGATGTGGGAATTAAGCCGACCAGCTAACCAAGTAAAAATACAAAATGCAAAAATGCCCTCTGGGGTTTTCTGCAGACTCTTTGAAAAGCAGAGATCCAGTAGTTGAGTGTCTAACAGTACAAGAAAAGTGGCACCAAGAAGAAAAGGGGTGGGCGTTGCCTTGGTGTGTGAATTTTGAATTGAGTCACCTTGGGTTTTGTGTCTCTGTTAACTGGGAAACCTCCCGCAAACCTGCGCCTTTAAGACTCAGTTGCTATCCAAACACAAGTAAACAGAGTGGACCATTAGCAATCTCCCAGCTCGGAGGCGGAGCCAGGGTGCATTGGGCCGCGCGCGTTTGCAAGACGCCCGCGGGGAGGGGAGGCGGGGCCGCTACTAAAACCCTCGACTGGCGGCCCAGGGCAGCCTGGGGAGGGACGCGGGCTGGGACAGAGCTCCTCGTGCGCTCGCTGCTGGAGGGTGATGGCCCTGCTTGGCTGCGGGATCCGACCTCACCGGCAGTCGGCGGCCAGAGGCTCGCCAAGGCACCGGGATCTGGGCGAGCGCTGAGTGCCCATCCCTGAGCACGCTTGGTCTTTACACACAGACCTACCAAAACGAGGATTCGCTCTCGCTTTCGCTCCTTGTGCTCCTCCAGATCATGTCCTCGGCTCCCGGGACTGCGCGCCCAAAAAGAAGTTTGCCCAGCTTGGACCTAATGACCTTTTCAAGCTGTGAGTCCTGCTGTCTGGACCAGGTCTGAACCGCGCTGCCCAGGTAGAACTCTGTGCTGGAGGTGAGTGCTGAGACCCGGCTGTAGCCGCCCCAAGAAAAAAGGGGGTTCAGGGGGCATCTCAAGTTCAGATATTGAGAAAAGAACTCCTGCAGACGCAATCTCCGGCATTGTGTCTCACTTCCTCGGATCCCGGCACAGGACTCCCAGCTCACTAAAAGTTTAACCTACGCTTTCTGCACTGTCCCTTAGTTTTGTTCTGGGAAATTTACACGTTAGGCAAGATTGATATAAGCTGATCGTTGTACATGGTGATTAAACTCCATCACCCCATGCTATTGCTCCCCTGCTCTAGAAAGCGCCGGCCGATCTGTCCAGGGGCAGCCGGGACACAAGGTGTCTCCAAGTCAGCGACTAGAAGGCACATTTCAAAAGGGAGTACTTCAGTCTCATAGGTAATTCTCCAACCTCGTGCTGACCTTTTGGTTTTCCTCCTTCTCCAGTCCTCGCTGAGAGGGCCGAAGGCAAACGCAGCTAAAACGGTTGGGTTCTGGGGAAATAACTAAAATAGGAGTTGCAGTTATAGGAAGACCAGGGAGGGCGAGGTGTTTGCACAGGCAGCAACGCTGATCAACATGTTTCCCTACCTGTTAGAGAACAAAAGAGGATTGGCCTTTTCTGAAGCTACTTTTTCTCTCAACAAACTGCAGTCCGGGGCAGAAAAAGAAAATGAAGCTGGGGGAGCGAGGCAGCAGAGACAAACAGAACCCAGATTAGTCAGAAGGCATCTTAATTTAATTAACTCCTTGGGAAGACAGAGGCGCTTGGAAGGGGCAGGAACTTCTCGGCTGTTTCCCCCCTCGTTTACCTGATCCAATCTGTTTGGCGCCTTCCTCCTCCCCCCCTTCTCCTCCTTCCCCCCCCCCTCCTCCTCCTCCTGTTGCAAATCTCTGCTATAGTTCCCCGGTTTATATATTTTTTTAATGTATTGTGGTTTGAGCTGCAATTCAGTGAGCCTAACCACCCATCAGTCATGTCACCCAGAAATCAATACAGAGTTTAGCAGATGACCCTTAACTATATTATTGTTAGATAATTCAATGTAACAACACGATTACCAATGAGTGGAGACTCCTTATCAAATTACCAGTACCTTGTCTCCCACATGCTTTGTAAGCTTCATGGAACTGAAATTAATATGTACAGCTCTCCCTTGTTGACAGCCAGTGAAGCTAAATTTTACAAAACTTCTAATACGCCTGAAAATTCCTATGAAGACAGATGAAAGAAAAGTAGTCTCAACTCCACTGAACCATTTATGACTTTTGTGGTTTAACTTTCTCTCCTTGCAAAATTAAAGTAACCAATGGTGGGAAACAGTCTGGCAGAGAAATGACAGCACAGGCTCTGCTGTTACTGCCTGAAACCGAGTGTGGGCTCAGCCCCACTCAAAACGAAAGTACTTAAGATCTCTGAATTGACTTAAATTATCATTTGACATAGGTTGCCAGTGACTTAACAGGAGCATGTAAATTTAAAGCCCCTAATTATTTGTGGCCACAGAATTTAGTAAATATTTAGGGGAATTCTATTTGGAAAGGGTTTCAGAAGGCACCAATGGCTTGCTCTTCCTTTGTGAAGTAATTCTTCCCAGCAAATTAAGACAAACATATACTATGAAATAGCACTTTTGGGCCAACATGAATTATAACCATCTAGTTTCTGTACTCTAAACTATTAAGGAAAGAGAGAAGGGAGGTGGTACTCAAGTCTCCCGGCAGAATTAACATTGTAACCTTTATGGCAAAGTTCACTTTGAGTTTTTGGAGTCAAAATCATAAGTGCTGATCTTCCATCAGTCAACATCACCCCAGTCCTGCCCCCTACACAGCCTATGGTGGAAGTTGTGCTTTGCCTCCTGTATTTATTTCTAAGAAATCTAGTCTGGGAATACACCCAAATAATAATTTCAGTTTCCTCTCTATGGAGGAGAGGCTGCTTTTCAACACTAGGGGGGAAATGTTTTGAATCCCTGGAAAATTCTCCTTACCCAAGAAGGAAATAAAGATGAAATTTATTATTTCTTAATTGAAGGGGAAATAATCAGTGATATTAGTAGAATATTTTCTCCCCTAACTCTAGAGGAAAGGGTTTGAGGGTTGTGGTTGAACAAAAGTGAATAGTGATTTGTGGTGGGAAAGTTTATTACTAATGGGAGTTTACAGTTTCGGTTGAATGGCCTGACTGAGACCCTCTGACTGCTCCACACCTCTCATTAACTCCCAGACCGCATACCACCAGGCAGAAGCAGTTCATTAATAAATCTCTTGTCTCTAAGCTGTTCCAAACAGAGGAGGAAGGTGGGGGCCCTCGGAGGCAGCCCATTGTGGCCTGCCAGAGCGCTGTGTCATTAGCGCAGCCCCCAAGCTCTGCCGACTGATATTCCAGGCCCCACTTCACAAAACTCTGAAGAAAAATCGGGTACAGAAAGGAGAGGGTGGGCAGGGAAAGCTGGACAGGCCCTCTCACCTTCTTGCTGGGTCTAAACCCTAGGTGTTGGGTTAGTGGTGCAGATTGACTGGCCTGCTTCCCTCCCAGACAAAGTTCTCAGCTCTAGGTCTTGCACCTGGGAGGCCACCCTCAGAGTGAAGGCCCTGGTCCTCCAAGCTGGCAGGACTTGCTTATAAAAAGTGGGAGATGGTGGGCCCACTGTGAATGCAGGTGAGGGTGCTCCAGGGATTCTGGGCCTGAATTCAGACGGCTGCATTATCACTGTGGGCTCCAAGAGGGCCCAGGCCTCAAGCACCTCCAGGCCGGACGTTAAGACCGATGCGGGGGCCCCAGCAGCTCCTTCTCTTTGCCCCCTCCGCTCCAACTCCCCACCCTGAGAGCTCTCTCCTTTCTTCTGGGCTCTTCTGGGGCCTCCGGGTGTAGGGATTGCTGCTCAGTGCCAGACCAGGAAGCAGCTCTGGCCTCCTGAGAGCTTGGCTCTAGGTCCAGGAAAAGGGGTTCCAGCCGCTGGGACATTCTCCGCCCTCACCCCCAACCAGGCGGGAGTCTAAATGAACCATCTGGAAGGGATCTTGCTAGGGGGTGGGAGGAGAAGCAGCCCCTGGGAAGGAGAAGGGGGTGATTCCAGGCGGAACCCAGCCTGCGAGGTGTCACTTTTCTTTCCTGCGGACCCGTCACTACTGATAAATGGGACTAAGGCAGAGAAAGAAGGAAAACCTCCGAGGTCAGCGTGGGGCGAAATGGAGCTCTCCGAGGGCCCAAGGGCCCAGGAGGACGCGGTGCCCTCTGGCAAGGCCGGAGTGCGTAGGGTAAGCTCAGGAAAGGAGGCCTGTGTGGGGCGCAGTGCGGGGAGCCGCTGCGAGTCGGCAGAGCCAGGCCTTCGGGTTGGGGTCGAACTCACAACCTGCGGTGCCCGGGAAGCCAAGCCGGGAGGCCCTTTGACCACAGGAGTAGGCTCTGGGGCCTGTGGGCCTAGATATCTTGGGTCAAGCTATTGACTGAGCCTCACCTGGAGGATGCGGTGGCTGGGTCACAGGCTGGTGCTGCCGTTTCGGAACCCTCTGCTTGCCTCTATCCGGTGGCGAGTGGGGTATCTGATCTTCCTACCCGTGGCTTCTTACCAGACGGCCACTTGTAGCCAGGCCCAGAGCTGAGTCTCGGTGCAGATTCTCTGTGTAGGCCTTAGGGTGTTGGAGAAGATCAAGCTTAGAAAATGCAATCTAGAGACTGACCACGATAATATTCACAGTGTGTGCGTGTCTCTCTCTCTCCCCCTTGCTATTTTTAGGGCTTTCTCTACGTGCTGTTGTTTCTGGGGTTTTTTTCACTCCCGCCCGCCTCCCAGTCTTGGAAGAAAGGGGCGGCTCCCTACACCCCTCAAGATCCAGAAAGATGGGGAGCAAGGCCCTGCCAGCGCCCATCCCGCTCCACCCATCGCTGCAGCTCACCAATTACTCCTTCCTGCAGGCAGTGAACACCTTTCCCGCCGCAGTGGACCACCTGCAGGGCCTGTATGGTCTCAGCGCTGTGCAGACAATGCACATGAACCACTGGACGCTGGGGTACCCCAACATGCACGAAATCACCCGCTCCACCATCACGGAGATGGCGGCTGCGCAGGGCCTTGTGGACGCGCGCTTCCCCTTCCCGGCTCTGCCCTTCACTACTCACCTGTTCCACCCCAAGCAGGGGGCTATTGCTCACGTCCTCCCAGCCTTACACAAAGACCGGCCCCGTTTTGACTTTGCCAATTTGGCGGTGGCCGCCACGCAAGAGGACCCCCCTAAGATGGGAGACCTGACCAAGCTCAGTCCCGGGCTGGGTAGCCCCATTTCGGGCCTCAGTAAATTGACTCCGGACAGAAAGCCCTCCAGAGGGAGATTGCCGTCTAAAACGAAAAAAGAGTTTATTTGCAAGTTTTGCGGCAGACACTTTACCAAATCCTACAATTTGCTCATCCATGAGAGGACCCACACGGATGAGAGGCCGTACACGTGTGACATCTGCCACAAGGCCTTCCGGAGGCAAGATCACCTGCGGGATCATAGGTGAGGTTGGGAGAGGGGAAAGTGAATTTGCCCATGACAATGTCCTGTCATTCCAACTGAAACTAAAATCCTCTAATGTATACTGTGCCCTCATATCCCTCCCAAGCCAGCTTCCAGGAACCCCCAGCATTTACTTTTTTTTTTCTTTTTTTTTTTTTTTTCCCCTCAGCAGCCCTGGCTGCATTCTTCCGGGATGAGCAGGGAATATCTGGTAGCTTGACCTTGGAGTCACTCTATTTCCTCCGAATCTGTCTCAGTGGCGAGTGGGGGGGGGGGCCGGAATGTGAAAACCTGAAGGGTTCCTGACTCAGTGACTGCTATGGGACCATTTTGGGGGATATCTGAGTTCCCTGGCTCCTCTTTTCACTTCCCCAGTTGCCACAGTCTTACAATTTGTCCTGGAGGGGGTCCTGAGGTCACTGAATTTAGAAACGGCTCCTTCCAATCCCTGTGCCCTGGGTTCGCAAATGACAATTGAAGAAAGACTGTAACTAGTGTTACATCCTGTTAAAACTTCCCAGAAGCGTACCTTCCCCGAAATCTACCTGCGATTTCGGAATTGGGACTTGTATATCAGTATCGGAGGCCGAGACCCGTAAGCAGTTTGCTAAAAGCAGCCCTCTTCAAACCCAACCTAGCCTCCCATTCTGATTTGGCCCATTTAAATCCCAAAGAATCTCGGAGGCCAAGGAGGGCTCTTTCGCACGATTTCGAGCTATGGAATAGCCAGAGAGGGCGATCAAGTGTAGATAAAGCCCGCCAGCCCGTGAATGTTTCAAAGATTCTGTTAGTTGAGGTTAACCATAAACAGAATTACACGGGGGGGGGGGGAGATCCAAAAAACCATAAATAATAGAAATTCTGTTTCTCTTGATCCTTCATGACTTCGTTTGAGTAATTGTGGGAAGAAAATCCTTAACCACAGGGGTGATCCATTTCAATGAAATCTTATATTGATTTTCAGGTATATCCATTCCAAAGAAAAGCCCTTCAAATGTCAGGAGTGTGGGAAAGGATTTTGTCAGTCTAGAACTCTAGCTGTTCACAAAACTTTACATATGCAGGTAAGTTTTTTTTTTTTTACTTTAAAAATGACTGGTACATTTTACATTATTGCTTTACAACAAATGTTCAAGGCAGGACCTGTCTTAAATGGCTCTATTTAGATTAGTTTTCTAGGTGGGGAAAAGCAACATTCTTGGGGTTTTAATATACACAAAATTAATATTATTTAACATAAATTTTTTCTTAAAGACAGGCCACTCTATTTTTAATTAATCCTGTTAGTATTAATTTTTTTTCATCCCATCTGCCCTGTGTTTAAAGCTTCCATGTTTGGGAGGAAATAAAGGTAATTTTGATAATAGAGGCATGGTGAAATCCAGTATGCTCTCTTTCCCAGGGGCCTTGTAGTTTGTAGCTTTCAGAACATTGAGGAATAGTTTAGTTTTCCAGCAAAGAGGAGCCTTATTCCCTGGGAGAATGTCCTTCCTTGAGAGAGGATTAGAGTTGTTCGTTCCCCCCTTTCCTGTCCCGGACGTGTTGATGAAAGCCAAGCGCTGGAAATCACACAGCCCACCGAGGTGGCCGTCGGTCGGCCTTGGTACTTATCAGTGTAATCGGGCCTCTGCGGGTGCCTGCACGTGTGCCTTGGCGATTGGAGATTTAGGAGCACAGATTTGTTCCTGCAAGTCCTCTCTTTTGTTGTCCTGCGCTTGCTCTGTTGTTGTGATACCAATAAGACAGGAACTGTTGAGGAGGGTGCCGTGGTGGTGTGAAGGATTAATCCTTTGCCTTGCTTCACATCTGAACAGGAATCTCCACACAAATGTCCCACATGTGGAAGAACCTTTAATCAGAGAAGTAATCTGAAAACTCACCTTCTCACCCATACAGACATCAAGCCCTACAGCTGCGAGCAGTGCGGCAAAGTGTTCAGGCGAAACTGTGATCTGCGGAGGCACAGCCTGACTCACACCCCGAGGCAGAACTTCTAGCGAAGCCCAGGAGTGTTCCGTGCGGCCACCGCCGCTCCCTCCCCCAGACACCTCTACACGCCTCCCACCCTGAGGGGCCCACCCCACCTTCCAATGACCCCAGCTCTTCCCCGGCTGCAGCCGCACCTGCAGTTCCAGGGAGTTAACTGTTCTTCCGGAGAACTCGAACTATATAGAAAGCCACACACTACCCCCTTCACAGAACATATGCTAGATCCTTGTAGATATACACAGCTCATTTTAGAGCTCTGTACATAATATCGTGGGTCTTTGTCCTGTTGTGTTTGTTTTTGTATCTTGTTGGATGCACCTAGACATGGAAAATGGAAGCCAAATTTATCTTTAAAGACTGTATTTTCAAAATAAAACTCTTTTTCTTGTTCATTTCAACACTGCTTCAGATGAGTCCTGCTCTTCAATTTCTGTTTTCCCTGTGTGTTCTGGAAGAGGGGGCAGCCTCTAAGACTTCAGCCTGGAAGGGTGTTCAGTAGTCTTAGGTTTAAAAAAACAAGACTTCCCCTGAGTCTCAATGAAATTTTAGCCCTTCCCTTTTTGTACATTTTGTGCATTTTGGATGAGATAGTTGTGCTGTCTTGTGCTTTTCAAAGATATTAAAATGAATAATCTTGGGTTTTTTTATCTTAGTCCCATCCCTTATGTATTACTCCTTCAGGTAAGCATACTGTATTAATCATTATTGATAATGTGCCTCCCCTTTGGCTGCTCTTCTTCAAGCTCAGGGTAGGAAGAAACATAAAACTAGGGGTGAGAAGGTAGCTTCTTACACCACTTCATGTTCTGAAAGTCCTTGACCTGTTGTCAAAGTTTATGATGGGCAACTTCTACCATTAGACTTTGAACACTGTGATTTCTTACTATAAACAAAGACTTTATCCTGCCTTCAGGGGACAAGTCTAAAATCCTCCTACCAAACAGTGCAGGAAGATACAGCCCTCAGGAGGATGGGGGAGAAGAGGAGGAAGGAGAAACTACTTTGCTATGTTTGCACATAATATTTCTTTCCAAGGGTGGAGTTCATTTCTGTCAGAAGGTTAGGATTTCTTCACAAAGCAAAGTGAGGTCACTGGCCAAGTTTTGCCCCAGGGAAAATGTGAAGTGTAGGTTATTCCTCTTGGAGAGCTTGTAGTAGATCTGTGGTTACCTACTGAGGCAGTTAAACCTTTCCCAGGTGGTTCTTGGGGCATAGGACACTAGAATAGTAACAATCTTGAAGTAGAGCAAAGGATTTGGGTGGAAGGCTCTGGATAGAGATAAACAGCAGCATTGCACCAAATGGAAGGAAGATGACTCAATTTAGAGAGATCATCATGGAACCTATGGGCCAGTGGACCAGCAGTTTCTCATAAATGATTTACTACAAAATAACAGAATAAATTAGGCATTTTCAGATTTTAGTTAAAAATGGCATAATTTGTACAAGGATGGCATGTTTAACCTTCAGAGTGATATCAAGCAACTTGTCCTATGTTTATTTAATGTCTTAGAATCCTCCAGAACAATAGGTAGGGATTTGAAATTTCTTGCCAGTGCCTAGTTCAGTATAACTTCACAGGAGGTTTCAAAGCATTCCAGACTCATAGATTATACTGTGAAATCGATGTACATCTCTGAGTACATCTCCAGCAAGAGAAAAGTCTAAAGCCTTCACTAAGGAGAAGGGACAGGGCTGAAGTGTGGAGTGTGTGTGAGTACTTGGTATTTAGAAGAATTAAACAGCTGTTTATTTTCTTTTGTTTGTGCAGAATTAACTCTGTGACCTCCCCTGCCTCTGTTCTCTCAAGATCTTGCCTGTTTGACATGGGAGATTTGAATACTTTAGGGCAGGGTTAGACTTTGACTCTCCTCCAAGACATCCCCTCCCCCAATCTTGCAGGCTTTTTCCATGTACTCAGACTTGAAGACCCACCCACTCCCATGTACTACATATAGGTGTCACAGTTCCACTGTCCACTACCAAGCTTCAGGTATATCCCGGTGTTCCCCACCACAGGGATACGTGGATAGATATAAGCAGGGAACTGTTTCTTTCCATTATTCTAGTTGATAAAACAAAATACGTAAGTGAAAGAAGGAACACAGAGGAGAAAGTGAAGAAAGCAGTTCCTCTTCCCATCCACATGGCATTTCAAAAGTCAAGGTCAATTTACTTACAATTTACTTCCTTATTCTTCAATAATTTATTATTGTGTGCTTTTCATGGGCCAAATCTTGTGATACTATTCACGGATTTTTTTTTTTTTTTTGGTTTCATTTTTGCTCTTGTTTTATTCTGAGACAAGGTCTCACACTGTAGTTCAGGCTGGCCTAGAACTCACTATGCAGTCCAAGTTGTTGACTGAGTGGTGCTCCCCCTGTCTCGGCCTCCTGAGTGCTGGGATTATAAGTATATAATTACAGTCAGCACACCCTGATTTCTACAGCTTTTTAATATCAGTTTCAGCTTTTTAATATCAATTTCTGCTTTTCTATATCTAGTGACATGCTTTTGGAACCTTGATTACTTGGATAATTTTTAGAAATCTATGTGATAGAGTTCAATTTAACAGCTCTTAAATCCAGTGGCCATCTAGGCTCAGAAAGGACTAGGGTCTGTCAGACTCCATACATCCTCATGATTCTAGATCAATTTTTGAATACTGGGTTCTTCTCAAATTCTTGGTTTTCTTCTCGTCTATGTCCAAGTACACAGAAAACGAATCTTGTGTGAGACAATCTTATGGGATAGCATAAGGACAATAAAACCTTTATCTTAGGAAACTGATCTACTGGGTTTTTTTTTTTAGTTCAGAGAGGAGTCATTATTTGCATTTTAGATTAGCCTTTATACCCTCTACCGTAGTCAACATATGAATCAATTGCCCTGGCAAGAGAGTCAGAGGAAAGATCATGAATCATAACTTCAGTACAGAAGAAAAATGAACAACAGTTATGAATTACTGTTGAGCTGCAACTGAAATATCATCTTGTCATCTATGTATGAGTTCTAAAAAATAATGTCTGAAAATGAATTGCATTGTAACCAGTTGTCCATGTAAGATTATGAGCGTGTGTTAGGTGCTCTTTCTGATGCTAATCTTGAAAGATCAATCATTGTAGAACAAGTGTTTTGTCACTATAATAATTAACATTGCTATTTTTTACAGGTATATCCTATTTTATATGAAGAAAACTTACCAAAACTTGGCTCTAAGACAGCTAAATATTTTTAAAGTCAATAAATCTAAAGACTCAAATTATAAATATGTCCAACTACCTCCAGCGATGAAATTAAAAAAAAAAACACTGGGGATTTCATCTGTTCATTTTTCAGATGTTAGTATAGACATTTGGACCTCTTCACTTAAATAATATTTAGATATCCCTCTCTTAACTTTCATTCTGGAAAGGCAGCCAACTCCTGGGAGGCGCTTGGGAAACAGTTACTAAAGATTGTCAACATGGCTGACAGTGTATCTTGATTAAACAATGTGTAGAAACGACAGTGCATTTTAATACAAGATGAGTATTGACATAATGAGTTGCCTTTCTTATTACTAAATAACTTTAATATTATTGTAATAAGAAACGTGAACAAACTGATGAAACCATGTAATACATTGGCTTGTGTATTGTGGAAGATTGCTTGTATTTACACTTAACAGTATTTCTCAATTTTTCATTCTCACATGTAACTTGCCATTGATAACTACCACTGATGACAGCAACAGGCAATAAAGGGAGTGGTAATTCAGAATGATTCATTTTTGACAACCTGAGATAATTCAAGTTCATTCTTGCTTCTTTTTATTGCTTATTGCTTGCCTCCCCATACAAATTATCTTATTTTCTAAGCCATGCAAACTCTTTTTCTTTAACAATCCAACCCAAAAACTGATAGTCAAAAAAGGTGAGTAATCTAAAAAGCCCACAAAAAGAACATTGTTAAATAAATCATATACTATACGTGTTAGGATGCTTTCTACTGAAAGAAACAGAAAACTTATTTAGAGGGACTTTGAACAACAAGGGATTTACCTTCTTAATAAGATGTCTTAAAATGGGGTCCATGGATTTGTAATTAACTGGAGTGACAAGATACAGGGCCCAGTTGTCCCACTTTTCTGTTCTTCCTTTTCTCCTTGGTAGACTGGGGCTCCCTTCATGGCCACAAGATGGCTGCAGCGGCTCCAAGCACCAAACCCATTGTTTCCTCCTCACACATGTTCGGAGGCAGAAAAAGAGATTATCTCTTCTTTGTATTGCTTTTTAGGAACTAAGAACCACTCACACATTCCAACTTATAGCCTTACCCTTACCTTCTTTTGACTAGAAATGTAAGTTGTTTACCTCTTCCTTAATCACTGACAAGGAGGACAAATTTATACCATGATTGATGAAGAATACATAAAATAGATCACATTAGTCAGTCTTCTCTGAAATTCATAACTACCTAGAAAAAAAGAGATAGGAAAATGGGCTATTGTTCATATGCAGCAGATGTTCAAAATAAAGTTTCTAGGGGCTAGCAAGATGGCTTAATCAATAAATTGCTTGCCCTGCGTGCATGAGGAACTGAGTTGGAACTTGGGGTGGTGCAGGTTTATAATCCCAGTGCTGGAGAGATAGAAACAGCTGGATCCCTGGGTTTACTGGCCGATCAGTTTAGCTAAAACAGCCCCAAGTCCCAGTGAGTGACCCTGTCTCAAAAAACAAGGTGGACAGCTCCTGAGCAACAATAACTGGGGTTGACCTGTGACCTCTACATTCACCCACCCACACACCCACCCACACTATTCACACCACCACCACCAAATAATAATAATAATAATAATAATAATAATAATAGTAATAATAATAATATAACAATAATGTTTCCATTAATAGTCTTATGTTAGAAGATGCTGGTATCAGATGCAGGATCTCTAATGACATATGTAGAATTATTCCAACTATATAAAACAAGCCAAACCTTGCAAAAACTAAGCAGAAACATAGACTAGCAGAAAACATACTAAAATGTTCACAGCAGCTGTTCATAAGTGACAAAGGGTACATGTTATTTTTTCCTTTTCTTCTCAACCCTCCCACAATAAGCGCATGTCCTTTTTAAAAGGGAAAAAATGTAATACACAGTATTTCAAAACCCCAAAATAAAGGCTTAATGTGCTGAATATATTTGTTTTTTTTTTCCTCTTTTATTGCCTCTGACCTGCCTTTGCCTGTCTTTTTCACACACCCACGTAAACTCTCATGCGGCTTCTAACCTGTGGTATTCATTTCAGTACATGTTTATGCTCTAGTTTCTCTTTCTTGCTTGCTTGATTCCTATTCAAAACTCCCTTTCTTGTCCTTTAGATGTCTTTACCCAGGGCTTGTGTTTGCTCCCTTTT